TATAAATTATAGGCATTCTACTAATAGTATCTAAATTAGCTAGGTCCCCTACGCAGCTTACTAAAATAGATTCAAGCCTAGGAAAAAGGCAAAGAGGATCTAACATCACTTCACGACAATTATACCTAATACTAGAACCAATTCACATCCTATTTAGCTACGCATTATCTATTAACTACTATCTATTACTATTATTCTTGTCGCTATTTATTATTATATCCTATTTAGAACCTTTAAGGTTCCTAGGACACTACCCCTAGGAAACCTCTTTATTCTATATCTATCTCTCTATTAGAACCTAGTTTAGACTCTGTATTAGCTAAGATTGCGCCTAGACTATCCTTCTTCGCTAGCTTCTAGACAACTAGTGCAGCAGGAATTAGAGCAGGTACAGGAGCAGGGACAGGAGCTAGGACTAATTTAGACTCCTTCTCGTGGAACGCCTTTATCTTAGCCTAGACTAGGAAAGTTGCCTCCTAATTTAGCGCTAATTCCTCCTTAAGTTTATTAATAGCCTTTATTAAGCCCCTAACTACTAAGACTATCTTATAAATACTATTCTAAAGCTAACGTAAATTAGATATAGTAGTATAATAGGTAGCTATAAGGATTTTAGTAGCTTCTATACCCTTAGTCTAAGTATTAGTAATAGTAACGCACTTAGCAAGGTTTTAGGCAGTTTCTTAAATAGTGGCCTTAAACTGCTTAATATCCTTCTAATAGGCAACTATAGCTTCCTTATCCTTATCCCCTTTAGCAGGGTTTCTAATTAGACTATAGTATTCTTCTAGAGCACCCCTAAGGGCAGAGTACTCTTAGCTAACAAAAGAAGGAATCTGCTAGGATTAGTAAAGGAACCCTATTAGACTTAGACACTTACTAGATTACAATACTTATTCTAGGAGATATAGTACTAGTACTTCTTAGAATTCTTTAACTTAAAATTAAAATTATTAAACCTGCCCCTAGCTAGAGCCCTAACTACTCTTATATAGAGAGCGCGATAAGCAACTAGAAGGACTCCTAGTAGTACTAGTACTAGCATAGCTAAAGGTTCTAATTTAGATTAGCAACTATTTAATTATATAGATTAAATACTTACTAGATTTTAGATAGATTAGGTTAAATAATTAAAAAATTAGGGATATAGGAGTAAGAAAGTTAGTAGGTAGAGGGCTAGTTATAGGCAGGCTAGGGATAGGGGTCTGTGCCCTAGGAAGAAGAAGTAAAGGTAAAGGCAGAGGTAAAGGTGGATTTATTTTGCAAAAGCTCTTCTTTAAAGAGGGATCTAAACCTAATCCTAAGGATAGGGACTATCCTTTCTCTACAGGAGGGGGTAGTGTAATAATAAGGCAGAATTGCCTGCCTATTATTCTATGCTAAGTTAGGCCTAATAAAGGCCTAACTTACTAATATATATAGAGAACAGCTCGCCTATAGTTAGGATAGGCATGTTCTTCTTGTCCTTTCGTACAAGACCTATAGGTGTAGGAATCTCATCCTTTTCCATACAGACGCGCACTCCCATATGCCTTTGAGTTGTATAGGATACCTTTTGGATGCCCTACCTACCTAAGTCGTTACAATAAAGTTTATAGTTATAGACTAATAATAAGTTAGGAACGTGTTGTAAACGTGTTTTATAAAGCATACCTTTAGGTTGCTGTTAGTAGAGGAGAAGAGCCTAGTAGTAGAGAAGATAGAAAAGGGGCTAGTAAACTTCTTTCTAATACCGCTCTACTACTTGCCCTCTAGCTTTAGGCTTTTAAGCGTGCTCTTTTATTTCTTATTAAGACTAAGATATATCTAGTTAAGTTAGATATAGCAAGACTTACTTTATTATTATTTAGAGTATTATTATTATTATAGGACGCGTTCTAAATATATTCTAAACATGTTTTAATTAGCAAATATGCATAACGCTAGCGTAAGACTTACTTTCTCCCCTCTAAAGCTTTTTAAGGTACCTTTGCTTAAGCCTATTAGGAGTTCTATAGTTATAGCGTATTCTAAACTTGCTCTAGGCTTTAAACTCTTTTATATCCTATAGATCTATCTAGTGTGCACTATATAATATTACTTATATAATTCTAACAGGTTAAGAATAGGTTATAAACTTACTTCTAAGTAGCCTTAAGAATACTTACATGCTTACTAGTTTTATATTCTTTCTAGCCTGCTTGCTTAGCTATATTTAAATAAGATTCTAGTTTTTCCTATACCTTTTTTAATATTTTACTATAGTATTGCATAATCCTAGTAGCAATTACTAGGTTTTTCTTATAGATTACCTAGTTTTAGGTATCTTTAGAGGGTTCGTGTTCTAATTATGTAAGAACAAGTTAGGAATATATTTAGAATAGGTTTAGAATATATTTACTTATATAAGAGGAGGTTAGTAAGCTAAAAGTATTCCTCTACTATTAATGCCTGTAGTAATTTACTTAGACATAAAGAGGTAGTATTATCTAGCTCTCTTTTATATACTTTGTAAATACTTCTTTATAGATATACTTAACAAAATCTTATACAAGATTAAAGTTGCTAGCGCTAGTTACGCTTGTAGGGATTAATTAACTAGAGATAGCGCCTAAGTCCTAGAAACAAGTTAGAAACACGTTATAAACATATTGCAGTGCACTATAAAACTTGCCTATTATCTGCTTATTGTATATATTAATAGTAGTCCTATAGAATCCCTATAAGTAAATATGCCTCTATAATACTTATCTTTTTATAAGTGCTTTATACTTCTAAAAGAAGTTAGTAATAGCAACTTAATATATCTTAGTTATATCCTTATCTATAATAATTTAGCTAAGTGTAATAACTATAACATGTTAGAAATGTGTTATAAACCTGTTCTTAATGCGTACGCTTCTTTTCCTATAGGTAGAAGATTACTATTAGAATCTCTACCTATGCCCTATATAACCTCTTATATAATATATCTATCTAGAATATGTCTTAATCTAATAGAATTAATGCCTACTCTTTAAAAAGGCAAATAATTAAGTTACCTAAGCTTAATATAAAGATTTGCTATATATACGCCTATAGTAACGTGTTAGCAACGTGTTCTAAACCTGTTCTCTTATACCACGTATAGTTTTAGGATCCTAATACTTTGTCCTCTACTTATAGTGTACTCCTTTAAGGCTACTCTTAAATAGGAACTATAGAAGCTTTTTACGCTTTATAATACGCAAGATTTTATCTTTATTTGCAAAGCTAATATATATTTCTTTAATAGAATAGAAACCTTTAAGTTAGAGATAGGTTTAGAGCTAGGTTAAGTTTAGGAACTAGGCTATAATAAGTTAGGAATATATTTATAACAGGTTATAAACAACTTATATTACGTAAGCTATAGAGTAAGCATAGGCTATAACACCTTTACTACTTCCTTAATATTACTATTAGATAGTATTAAGGGAGGAGGAGGTATATATATATATATACTAAAAGAAATAATAGTAAAAAAAGGTATTGCTACTATATCTATTAGTATAATTACTTAGAAGGTAACTTTATATAGGATTTTAAATAGAGATCCTTGCCCTTGTAGATAATTAACGCCTAGAATATATTAGGAACGTGTTAGGAATAGGTTATAATATGCCTACCACACTTCTTTATCTAGCTTAACTATAGCTTAACTACAGAATATAAAGCAGGACTACTAGAAAGATTTAATATCTCCCTAGTTAGAAGACCTTATAGATATATAGAGTCTACCTCTAGTAGTACCTAACTAAAATAATATTTTTTCCTAGTAGTAGATATTAGGCTGTAGTTCTAATAGCTAATATATAGTTAAGCCTGTTCTATAATTTACTAACTTATTATTAACACGTTTTAAATATATTTAAGTTTTACTCTCTACCTAATTTACTATAGTCCTTATTATAGGATAATAAGACACCTAGTAGTCCTTATAAATCCTTAAAGAGAAGCGCTTAATAAGGCTATAATAATAGCTTCTTGTTTATAGTTCTCTTTATAGAATTTTCTTAGGTACTATACTTTTTAAGGTTTAGATCTAATTATATAATGCGTTATTAACAACGTAATAAGAATATATTTATAACGTGTTCTTAAGAAACTTATATACTTTTACCCTAGAGTATTAGTATTTATACTAGCTTACTAGCTAGCTATTAAAGAATAGTGAAGTTATAGGCCTATTAAGATAGATAGACTAGCAGGAGTATTATACCTGCTAGAATTAGAACAATTTAAGAACGTGTTCTTAACGTGTTACCTATGTAGCCTGTATAAGCACCTCTTCTCTTGTTAGGTAAGAGCTATCTTTATATTACTAAACTAGTATTATATACCTATACCCTTAGCTATATAATTAAGGGTATACTAGGAGAATAGCTATATACTTAATAATTACTAGTGTAAGTAGTAGTCCTTAACTATTACTATAAGTAAGGTATATATTATACCCCTATAATATATTACTAACCTATTCTAAACTTGTTCTATTTACTTTTACTTACTTTCTTAATACTACTACTACTATCCTCCTCTAGCACTTTATATAGTTGCCTAAATTTATCTCTAATATTACTATCTAGTTTAGATATATTATCTAGTACTACTATACTAAACTCTAGTATAGTATTTAGGAACGCCTATATATTATTAAGAATAGGTTTAGAATATATTTATAAAAGATAGTAACAAAAACTACGTTTACTTGCTTAAATTACCCTAATTTATACTTAACTATAGGCTAGTTTATATAACTATAAAAATTTACCGCTGTGACGTGGACTTGAACCTACAGGGATATTCTAACACACTTGGAGTAAAGCCCAAGTCGCCCGACGCTAAACCCATGGTCATATGACATGCCACCACCTCTCTCTCTCTCAAGCGTGCACTCGACTGCCCAGGCACACGCGCAACCATGTCTGACGGTGTCACGGAGGAAAAGAATGCAGGCACCACTCAGACGCCCTTGCGGCTGATAATCTTTGCCTCGCACCATGGCCAGCTGTCACCACTCCAGCACTGACATTGCCTACAATGGGACCTACACCGACCCTACACTGCGTATTGTACAAGACCGTACCAGTAGCCTCCCACGCGTCTCTCTCTTGCCTCTTTGCCTCGTTCCAGCGTGGATCGCAGGACCCTCCGCTTTTGCCTCTTTCAGGCAGGCCGTTCACACAGACGCAAAGGAAAAACACACAAAAAACAACGGTTCAAAGGCTAGCGGCTGAGCAGGCCGACGACAAGGATAGTAGACTGTACCCTATCCTCCCACCAGAGTGCAGTACAGTATCCTGGGCTTGTCCTGCATGCAATGCGCGACACTCTGGCGACGACTTCCTCTGGATACTCGACGGCCGCTGATTGGCCCGCCCTGCCACCTCCGCTTACCACAGCGTGTACACAGTAGGTACAGTAAGTACCATGTTCCCACAGCCCTGCGCCCGCCCCACGCCTCGCTCCTTTTTTCTTCTCGAAGCCTTGTTCAATCTAGAGATAGATAACGTACCTGGGTAGGATAGATGATCATCCCTCATCTGCAACCTCCCATCCACCACCCTCCTTGCCTTTCCCACCTGATCCAAAACGAACAAAAAAAGTCGCAAAAAAAACACGCAAAAAGTAATCAACTGTAGATTTCCATCTCACCTCCTCTCACAAACAACCATGGATGACATGCACCCACAATGACACCCTCCATCGCGCACAATTCTTACCGGAATGGCACCGAGCCTGTCGACCTGTGAGATGGCGTATCCTTATCTCTACCAGGTTCTCTCTACCCACCCCATCTCAACCAGGTAGGCACCTGTTGCAGTTATGCATGCATGACGCAACTCTGTCTTGCATCCCCTCCTCCGGCCTTGCCAGCCCTTCCCCCGCCAATGAGCCGTCGACAGTCTACAGCATTGTACAGTACTGTTACAATACTTGCCCGTACCGTCCACTGCCCAACCGCGTCCTTGCCCACTTCAGGCTGTATGAAGACTAGAAAACTGTCTACTTGCCTAACTGACTGACCAACCAACCCACGCTTCGTGGCTCCGACCACATGCCCTTTTTCACTACATTCAAAACCCAGTGTTTGCCCACGATGACTCATCACCCACATTGACCATCCATGCCATTTACAATGAATAATGAATCCAACTACACACATTTACTCTCTCTCTCTCTCTCTCGCTACACACAACCTTTCCCTAGCCCAACACTCTAACCCCCATCCCACCCCCCGCGCAGACAAAAATCCTGGATGATCAAAAAGCTTTCCACGCACCTACCCTATCTAGCTTAACCCTTGTCCACGGGTACCTAGGTACCTACCTAGATTGGGTAGAGTATACACCCCACATCACCACCCTTCACCTTCTCTACACCCCGTCTTCTCCAGCCATACAGTGGACACCGTACATCGCACACCGTACACCATATGCGCGCATCCATGTCGAGTAGCAGTGCGTGCGGTAAGAGCCAGCGTGAGAGAAAAGTGAAGCCAGGATGGGGACCTGCTTGATCCGGGAGGTCTTGGCCGTGTCTGTTGGCCATGTGTGCTTGCGACATGGATGCCGTCTTGCACGTACATCACCTACGCTGTTTTGCTTGTGATATACTGTAGATGGTAGATTGTGGCCTGTACTGTCTGGCTGGAGACGGGGGGACGTTGGAGTGGGTTGGGTATAGCTTGGGGAGGGAAGGTACAGGACAACACCTGTACCCCACACACAACATCGTCACTGCACACACAACATCGTCACTGCACACACAACATCGTCACTGCACACACAACATCGTCACTGCACACACAACATCGTCACTGCACACACAACATCGTCACTGCACACACAACATCGTCACTGCACACGGATTTTGGAAAGAAAAGAAGAAGAAGAAAAAAACTGGTTAGAATTCTCGACTCGAGTCCGTACAAGGCAAGGCAACTCACTGCATTTGAAACCCAATCAATCAAGCAATCAATCAAGCAATCAATCAAGCAATCAATCAAGCAATCAATCAAGCAATCAATCAAGCAATCAAGCAATCACTCGTAATTGTACACATCCAACCCCCTTCCCATCCCTTCCCATCCCCACCTCATCACATCGCCCCTATCCATATACACTCTCCCGCACACGCACACTTGTCCACTGCTCACTCATCTAGAGCCCATTGCAATATCAGCGCGAGTACGACCACCATCCACACACTCGAATCCCCAAACCACCAACACACGGCCCAAGAGTAGCCAACACCCCCACATGCCATCCCCCAACCCAAACAAAACCACACAAACAAAAACAAAAAAGGGACATGTACAATCAGCCCTGCGCCTTTTTTTCCCCCTTCGCCTTGTCAACGCCAAATCCCCTCCCCCTCCCTTCCACCCCAGGCCAAAAGCCACAAAAAAACAAAAAAAAGTCAATCCCCTCTCCCTCCACAAAACGCCCAATTTACAACAGAAAAAAAAAGAGAATGAATAAAAGCAGGTGGGTCAGAGGGGCAGGATGCATGACATGCAGACGTACGTGTACGTGGCGGGCAGGTTAGACATCCCTATGCAGCAAGGTGTATAGTACAGCCAGCGGTATGTAGAGCATAGCGTAGCTTGGGCTGGGCAATCTGCACCTGCTACCTACACACTACACACAATATGCACACCTGCACACCTGCACACGCATACCGACCCAGTACAGTACCCTATCACGCACTCTCCTCGCACATTCCCTCAACACAAGTGCCAGAAAAGAAAAGAAAAGAAAAGAAAAGAAAGAAGAAAAAAAATCCCAGAGGCGCGACGAGCACCGCAAGCAAGTGAGTAGACAGATGCAGCGCACGCTATGATGTAGACATTACAAGGAATTTCCGGATGTTGATACGAGAGCAATGGGAGGCAGAGGCGACTCCCGATCGGAGGAGTGAGAAATAGAGGGCGTTTGGTTGGTGGTGGCGGATGGGTGTGTGTTTGTGGTACAAGATGGCTGGATCGATGCGCGTACCGAGGACCTTTCACGTCGCAAGTCGTGGAGAGGCATCATTCGTAATAAAGTCATGATAACAGATGTTGGCAAAGAGAACAAAAAAAAGAACCCTCAGTAGCCGTCGCCGTCGTCGGTCCAGCCGGCTTCTGAGCCCTCGATGACGCGGACCATGCGGCCTTCTTGCTCCATCATGAGGTTGGTGTTGTCGACGCTGCGTATGCTTCTTACTTTCTTGCCCTGGATGCCTCGCGGGGTGGCAATGTGGCCGCCTTCGGGCGTGTAGCGCTTCATTTGCCGTTGCCGGTAGTGCTGTTGAAAGTTGACGTCGTTCTCGGGCGGGTCGTCCGACTGTTCGCTAAACGTTTCCCAGTTCTCCGATCCGGATTGCATCGTCACCCCCGTGTTCGACGTTCCCGTGGATGAGGCTTGCGAGTTTTGCGAGATTTGTCGGCTGCTGGTGGAAGAGGAGGAGGGTGGTGGGTAGTTGGGCATGTATCCGGCTCGCATGTTGTGGTTGCTCGACATGTATGATGCACGGTCGTCGTAAGGATCCTCGGGTGCAACGTTGCGGACGATGCTGTCACTTCGATCGCCACGGTTGAACTCGAAGCGATTCATCGGCGTCTCGACAGGCTCTGGAGGAATGAAGAGGTCCTTCATCCGTGGCGGCGGTGCCATTGGAGGAGGCATCTTCCGGATCGTCGACGAAGAGGAATCTTCCCGTGAAGGTGGAGGCGGTCGTCGTTCAGTCGAGGGGTTCCCCTGTCGTATACTGCCTAGAGTCGCACGAGCGGGAATCTTCGACGGACTCTTCATTCCTGATGATATTGAAACAGAACTGGCAAGCGGGTTCCGCGATATGCTGGCACCAAAGTTGGATACACTGGCACCAAAGTTACTCGAAGAAGATACAGGAGTCTTGGATCGGCTTGGTGGCGCTCCTCCACGCACGGTACTCGGACGGCTGAGCGAACCTGATTTGGAGTGTTGCAGCTGTTTGGTAGGCATCCCGGTATTTGACGGTGTTTTCGCGCGTGGTGGAGGTGCTGATGCCGCTGCTGCGTACAACTCGTCGAGATAGCGTTCGCCGTGCACCAAGAATGGACGGCCATACTCATCCTCCCAGTTCTCGAGCGTCTTCTTGAGGTCCTGCAGAACGGTCAGTCACGCCGGTTTTTCGCAATTTCAGTATACATACGGCTTCAATTTTGGGCAACTCCTTTGCAATGCGCTTGCGCATCTTCTCCTCTCGCAAGAGCTTTCCAGGATCTCGCTTCTCGCCCTTCTGACCACGCGCCATCAAACGTGAAGCGTCCTGACTGGATTGCGCAAGGTCGTTGCGCTCCTTGATCAGTTCACGGTGACGGTCAATCTTCTGGAGAATGGGTAGCCGCTGCTCCTTCAGGAGCTCAAGACGTGAAATTTCAGCTTCGTGTGCAGACAGAAGCGCATCGCTGCATACGTCTGAGAAGGCTGGTGTGAAGTCGAGCATCTCCTCTTCCGAGAAATAGAGCGCATCCCAAAGCTCTTGTAGTTTGCATCGCGCCTCCTCGACGAAGAGATGTAAGTTCTGGCGCTTCAACTCGTTCAGTCGCGCAAGCTCATCTTCGTATTCATTGATCGTCCGGAGACCACAGCCGCGGTTGCTGGTGAGAAACTGCTTGCGCTCCCGGTTCTCAACCCCCAGGCGGTCCCAGAGCTCTTCGATGGTGGATCGCAATTGTCCCAATCGCCGCTCGCGCGCGCGCTTCTCTTCCAAAAGCCTCTCCTTCTTTGCCGCCAGCTGAACCAAATCGTCCTTGTGGAGGCCCAACTGCTCGGGCGCGTCGCGGTGACACTTTACAATGGTGCTATCTGTTTGCGCCTGAGGCGTGCCTAGCTCGGCCCATAACTGTATTATTTCCTGGCACAGGACCTTGACGGTATTGATGCGCTTTGTGTATTCTTCGTATACGCGGGTGAATTCTCTGTCGAGCTTGGCGACGTAGGATGCGGAAATGTCAAAGGAAGGCGAGACGGTCGCATTCTGTGCTGTAGGGGGAAGTTTGATCTGGACGAAAGAAGCCTCGAGATGGGATGCGTACGATTCGAGGGCTTCGGCAAGCTTGCGCACCTGCTCAAAGCGTTCGCGATGCATCTTGCTGATAGCGTTGTACTTCTCCTTCAAGGCAGAGAGACAGCGCGTTAGTGGGTAGGAGACGGCCGCCTCGTCGTGGTCCTCGTAGTTTGGGTTTTTCTTGTCGTCATCGAGTGATGCCTCCATCTGCTTGATTGTCTTGATGAGGCGATGCGCCTCCTCTGTCATCTCATGTTTCTCGTTGGTGACCTGGCGCAGCTGGTTGTGCAGCGTTTCAGAGAGCGCAGAGAAAAGCTGTGCAGCAGTACGGTCAGCAAAAGTCAGCGCAGACTTGCAAACTGCCTTACCTCTGCCTCACGCGAATCGCGCTCATGGCTGGGGACACCAATGTCATCGAACAAGCCGTGCAGCTGGCCGATGATGGTCGTAACCTGCTGGGCGAGGTAGCTCGTGTCCATGGTGACTGCAGACCTGCCAGCGGTTTCAGCAGCTGCACATGCACTTCGCCCGTGAGTCGCCGAAGTTTGTCGTCGTATCTGACTTGCGGTGTAGTGCTGGCTAGTGGTGGATACCGGCCGACGTGCAGGTGGATATAGCGCGAGGAATGCGCCTGAGCGGGAAACGGAGATTCTGCGCTGTGTAGTGTGCAAGTCGTCCAATTGAATTTGCCAAAACGAAAGTGAATGCGCCGACAGTGTTTGTTCTGTGTCTTGGAACAAAAAAAAAAGAACCACCAGAAGACCAACTCTCGAGATACGCGCTGGTCAAACACAAAGACTCTAAGTGATGCAATACTAGAGATGGCGCGTCGATCGAGTGCAAGCAGCCTGCTGGTGGTCATAGTGTTGGTGTGCTCACTATTTGCAGACGCGCGTTGTGAGGGGCAACCGACTGACATCAACACACGCGCCATCACGAGAACGCCTGGTTTCACGACCCTTCAGCCCCGCACCATTCACAAGTCAGGTACTGTTCAACAGAACCTGTTTTTTGTAGTACGCAGCAAGGGGTTCCTGGTAACATTGTCGATATTTTGACAGAGGATCTTGTTGTTGTTTGTTGTTGTTGTTGTTAAGCATCCGTGTCTCCATCTCTATATATTGTCGTGGTTATCGGAACAACTTGGACGTACAGATAGTGAACTGCTGTCTACGCATCGCTAAATTTGATCAAAGCTCAATTCACTCCTTGCATACCAATGTCCTTTCTCCCCGAGTTGTTCTTGCTTGTACATGTACTAGCAGAACTCTCAGCATCGTATTGACGACCTTTGCCTATCCCCGCAAATGTAAGCGATATCGTTATCGACACGGCAAGATTGAACCGGTTGCCCCATTGACAACCGAACCCGTTCGCGCATATTAATTTCACTGGGGCCAAACAGCATAGCCGGGCTGAACTGTAGTTCTTGTTAGTTGAAAACAAGGGCAATTTCTCCTCAGCTAACTGCCTCCCTTGCTTGATTGGAATAGGGCAAAGGGCTCAGATGCATATTCGAGAAGATGGAGCCCACGATTATGTTGTATAGAAACAATGCATCAATCCGCATATATACATTCACTCACATACGCACTGTACCATGCACTCCCCCACGCCATGCTAAAAGCAATTATCTTTCCCGGATAACCCCACATAAGTACACATCACGCATAACTAGCCCATCCCATATACAACACCGCCAAATTTCTCTCATCAGTCGCCTGCTGTATCAACTCATTCACCGTCGCCTTCGTACTCAACGTCTTACTCAGTTTCTTCTCCACCACACTGAGCGCTCTCCCCGCCTCACCCGCCTGCTCCTCCCTCTCCTTCTTTTTCAGGCTATCCTGCACGGTGACTTCTTCCGCTGGTTGGCCTGACGGCGTGGGAGCTGGGGTGACTCCTGGTCCTACCGGTCCAGATCTCGATGTGTTATTTTGGTTGTTGCCGTTACTGGTATCCTGCTGGTTTTCTTGCATGCGTTTCGCCTTTGTCGGTGTGACGCTCCAATTGACCAAGGGATCGTAACGGAGGACGTTGAGGAGTGTCATGATGGACTCGCGTTCCTCGCGCAAGGTATCCATGGTAAATTCGCAGCACCGGCGGAAAACACCCTCTGTTTTCGTGTATCCCATTGCATCCACCAGATCCCTTGTCAGTCGAAAAGGCACCACCTCTGGTACTGGTAACACACGGCCCGCTTCAAAACTCACCCCCAAGTCAATGTGCACGACTTCGCCAGACTTCTCATCGAGAAGGATATTGTGGCAATGTCGGTCGCCCAAGCCGAGCACGTGTCCAAGAATGGAAATAGCAGCTGTAGAACGAGTGTACGCCAGACGGCGCTCAAACCATTCATCCGGGTCTTCGAAGCGTTCAAGAAGAAAGTAGCGCATAACAGGGTGAAAATTGTCTGCAATCTTTTGCCAGACTTTGACACGTGTGGTGAGGGAGTCTTGTTGGCAGGCGCCAATCTCTTTCCTACAACGGTCAGGCTTGTAGTCATTGGGGTAGTATCTCTCGTGCGCGGGCATGACCCAGAGATGGAGCGGTATAGTATTTTGAACAAACTCCATGAGACCGGAGCGTGTGGACAGGGGCAGCACTTTGTAAGTACGGATACCGAGGTTGCGGATGCGTGTTGCCGTGTGGTTTTTGAGTAGGCGCGAGACTTGGTCAAAGACTTGTTCCATGATGGCGTCTTGTCGAAGGTCGTCGTTGCCGGATTTGAACTAGACACGTCAACACATTTATCGTACTGCTTGTCATCAAAATACATACTAGCTGTTTGTAGGGTTTCCCATCAGTACCCTTGGCCGTAATAACCTTCGGCGCACTTAACCCGTTTGCTATACTCATGGTTGGCTTGAAAGACGCGATCCTTGGTAGATCGGTGTAGTTCATATTTGGCCTGACCTCGATCTGTAGCGTCGCTGGTGGCACATTCAACTTGGGAATTTTGTTAACCAACTCCTTCGACTCCTTGTATCTATCAAGCGGCAGCTCTCGGCCCTGTTGAGAAGTCTCCTTCTCGCCCTTGAACATGGCGAGGTGATGGTAAATTTCATTCGACTGGAATATAGAACTCCAGTATGACCGTGATCTCGAATCCGCACTAAGAGCTTTTGCAAGACTCGACGCTGCTTTCTGGCGAGATCGTGCAGACTCGTCCTTGGCTCGTACAATGTCTTCTCTTGTAATTGCACCAACTTTCATTTGTATCGCAAAGATCTGGTGCATGCCGTGGTAGGGATGTTCTAAGCAGATGCGGAACACCAAGTCCATGAGAAGGTGTTGAAAGGAGCTCTCTTCAGCTTGCAGTCGAGAAGAGAGCTGGTTCATGAGCAAAGCAAACTTTCCGCTTGGCACATCTTTGAGGTATAATTGCATAGCTGCATTGGCCAGCTCTGTATCAGAATACTCCAGCCACAGAGCGAAGACCCTAAGCGCATCGTTACTGTATTCGTCACTTGCGATCAGCGACAGGAGATAGTTTTCGAGGCACTGTCTCAAGAACTGCTCTCTGCCTTTGCGCAACCTTTCGTAGTCTGCGTTGTCGAGATCATACCAGGTCTTTGCTCGCCGCGCATTCCGATAGTAGGTTTCACGCATGCTCTTGCTTTTCTCAGTGGCGGACAACCTCTTGAACTCATGGTATTCTTGCAGTTTTCGATCCATGACAGTCTTGATGCGCTGCATATCCTCGGCAGCTTCTGGACTCTGAAGTTGTTTGTCGCAGAAGAGTGCGAACTCATGGAATACCTGACCAGGTCCTGCGCCTTGCTTCTGGCCCTTGAGTTCTCGAATCGCTGGTTCAAGATAGTTTTGCATGATGTCGTCAGGCTTAGCAAGACGTGCTTCTGCAAGATGATGGCCCTGCGGTCATTAGCATTATTTCGTGGCAGAGCTAGCAATCACCATACCAGTTTCGCCAGTAATACCGGTAGGCTCAGGTCTATGTTCTGGGAATCGAAGTCTGCATGATCTATCAAGTGTTGGCGCATGCGAATCGAGATTTCAGTTTCCCCTTGATCCCACAAAACATTCGCTACCTCGTGCTGTGCGATGGCTTCGATGTCTAGACCCACAGACTTGCATTGCGGCACAATATCTGACAAATATGTCACACTTGCTAGTGACTCCTGCAAGGCACCATGCCTTCGGCTTATTGTAGAAGAAGATAGTAGGGCTTCCACTTCCATACCACGCAAAGTAGCTGTTCTTGCGTGCAACGATTCGACAAGGGCCGTATTCGAGGCAAGCACATTGAACAGTGTCTCACGACATGACAGGAGCTGACGTACGTCCTGGAATCTACACAGCTGTTAGTGCACGAAAATTATCTCCACAGCGCAGCCACTTACTCTCCCGCACGCATCCACTTTTCACGAGCTTTCATGTGGTCCCAGGTGTCAAGCAGATGCTCGGAACGCTCGGCTTGGATAACCTCGCTGGCTTCTGTTAAAGCTGCTAGTGTTCGTAATCGGACTTTGTGTGGCACTGAGGATCTATTCTTTCCTGCTAGAAAGCTCATAGTAGCTTGAAGCTGCCGATCGAAATTCTCCCTGGCTTCGACTGCGCTTTTCGCGAAATGGAGTCCCTGGAATGCCTTGAAGAGTGTGCTGGACTCAGTATGATTCATCTCGGGCGCTTTGACGTCCCATTGACCCAATTTGCGTGCTGTGTGAAGTGTGCTCTCCACGACATCATCTCCCATGTCCCCGAACTGGTCGTTTGACAATAGAGAATGCGTGACACTGTTCATGTTTAGCATAATGAGGGACTTCACGGTCCCTCTCGTGTCCTCTGTTTCGAACTCGTTGTTACGGCGCATCTGACTATCAAGCCGGGCGCCTCTAAAGAGTAAGCTTTTGATACCGTCTCCTTCGTAATCAAGGCGGTCCAGAACAGATGAAAGATTTGAACCTCTATCAATACCATAGAAGGAATCCGGCTCGTCCAGATTTTTGTAGATGGACAACTGAAGTGCCAAGGGAATCTTTGGAGGCTCTATCATGACCGACGACCGTCTTGTACTGCTCTTAATGATCGGCTGACCGGACGAAGTTTCTGCAAATAACAGTGCACTGCGATACATCCCACACGTGTTTGCCGCCTGCGATGCCTTCAGATAGTCAATCTCTAGCCAACGATCTCGATCAACTCTCGTGACTTCTTTTGGTATCGGTTGACTTCGAAGATAAAGTATGGCTTGAATAAGGATGCGTACGTGGGTTATGGTGGTCTTTTCGCAGTTGCTGAACCACGTGGCCATTGCCTGCGATATCACATCGCGGACGGACTGCTCACCATCGAACTCATCAAGTAGAACAAGATGAAGTATATAAGGCAAAAGTTTCTCTGCCATGTGATCATTACTTGAAAGCATGTCTGGTAACACACTCAGAATTGGATCTTCAGCAGTGACCTTGCACAGGGACACGGCTAGGTCCTTAACCCATGCAGCTACTGGCTTTGCTCTTTCAGGAATGGCAGCTTGAGCGAGAGTTTCTGTGATTGTGGATATTGATGGGGTAGATTCCTCCGGCATGTAAAGGCCGAGAGCTTTTCCGATGGCGTCTGGTATGGCTCGATGCATCTCTGATATGTAGTGCGGATCCGCGCCAGAAAGACGAGAGATCAGTTGTCGGATAGTACCCTCTGCTATGCTTACTTCGCCACGGCTATCACTGTAGAAGAGGTCGAGGACTTCCCGGATAATAGCCTCTCGTGAGCCTTTTCCGAGTGAATCTTTAGATGAGCGAGTAGAGGACGTCCATGGAAGAGTCTGGGTGGCGCCACGATTAACATGTCCATATGCACTGAAAGCGCGACCGAGTACTCTGGCTGTCCAGAGAAGATAGCCATCACCAACACTCGTCCTTTGACATGACTCCCAGACAAGAGGTGCATACGCAGCAGCATCATGATTAAGACCGAGAACATCGTCACGAGCAGTGGAAGCCGGTTTAAAGTTCTGGCACAACAGGTCTAAGGCAACATCACGCGAAGTCTTGTTTAGGAGCTTTCGACCGGATTTGACGTCATCCAGAATCTCTAGGAGCAAGGTACTTTCTTCGCTTCCCTTGAAAGAATTGCCCTCTGCATGAACTTTTGACGCGGCAATGGTGATCGATTTGAAGGCTTTGACGGTAGACGATCGTTCGAGACTGGTGACAGCTTGTGCGTGGACTTTCAGATATTCAGTGAGCCAGGAATGGAAACGCGTTGCGGCATTCATAGTAGCCAAATGCTGTGATTGTTGCGTAGTGCTGTCCTGTGTGGAGCCCAGAAATACTCGTAAGGAAATAAGGATCGAGAGGCCGATGCCCGTAACAAAGCTGAGATGTTGTCGGAGGTACGTAGAACCATGATCAAATAGATACTGCATTATACCTACCGTATCCTCGGCACATTGTAGATCTGTAAGGAAAGGACGCAATGACTGAAGAGTCATCTGCAATGGATATCCTTCATGTGCGATCGATCCCGCGAGCGCCACGACGATTCTAATTTTGCGGATCATCGACCGAGCAAAGAGTGATCCAAGCGCTGGGTGAATTCGGTCAAGCAGAGAGCGCATTACGAAGGTGTAATTGCTGGCAGTCCAGAAGCTGGCCGGATTATCACCAGTACGTCTACATAGGCGCTCTAGTTGATCCGTCAAATAGTACGCAGAAAAAGATGGCTCGATCCCCATATTCATGCCTTGAGCTGAATGGCAGATGTCAATCATCTCAGTAATACGTCTTGACGCAGCATTGAAGGGCGTCTTCTTGTCCAGTGGTTTGATGACGCGCTCTTCTTGACCCATGGTCTGGAACACATGACCGAGTACCTGAGGAAAATGCTTCTGGATAAGTTCATAATAGCGGTTACTTCCAATCATATCCTTGAGCAAATTCGCAAAGCTTGGCTCTGCCTTGTTACGAGCAAAGCCTCGACAAGTGTCCCACGCTATAGTGTAAGCCGCTGCTTTGCCAATATTTTTTGACAAAACATCTGGAGGGGAGGAGCCCAGTTGTGTGGCCAAGTATTCAACCTCCAGCTTTCGCCCGAACATCATCGCTTGACTCACTGCTTCGGCTTCGATATCTCGCAGGAGCTCAATGAGGCTGGTATATCCAAATATATGATATGGTATTTGGGCAAATGTGCGATCTCGGTCCAACCAGGTGAATATGACCTGAGGCGCGAACAGGCGGAAAAGGCTCTGGGAGTCATCTAGGGTTCTGGCATGTGCGACTATGGAGATGCATCGTTTAGCGTGACCGACTGCCCCTTTGACTGACCCAGCAGTAGCAAAGATGCGGTAGATACTTTGACGAAGTAGTGTGTGCCACTGCGATGCCAGTCTAGATAGAACGAGAAGTCGCACCGCGATGCCTTCGATGCCTTCCTCATCCCCAGGCAAACTACTGTCAACATCTTGTAGAATTTTTTCATGTTCCGAAAGAACAAAGTCTTCAAACATGTGCGGCAGGTGCTGCGCGATATGATACTTGACGGTCATTTCACCTCGTGAGAGGAGTTCGAATAGGCTAGTCCGCACTGATGGCATCTTGCGATTTTGAGCGAAGGTCGGGTGATGCTTGAGCAAACCGTGTAAGAACATTGCGATTATCTTTTGCAGGTCGGCGGATTGTCTTACTCCCCCCATTTCCATTTCTTTGACGTAATAAGCATAGAGAGCCTCGACGTTCTCATATAGGTCCTGAGCTTCTCGGTCGGTTGTATCAGGGATCCATATGAGTGTTGTGCCCACTAAAACCTCCAATAGCATTCCGTTGGCAACTTCCGACGTATTGTACTCCCGAGCACGGGGATCGATGAGTGCTTCGCTGAAGCGCTCCAAGAGGTTCAGACAGTCAGTCCGCGAAATCTCGAACCCACTATCCCAGATCGTGCGCACAAAAGGTCGCGCACGCAGTAGTTCGTTCTCATGCAGGCCGGTCAGGTAATTCACAAACTCTGAGGGCAGGATGCGCGTCCCTGATCCTGTTATGCCGCTCATTGAAGAAATGAGATGCAGGTAAGCTGAACATGAAGCCCGCATAGCCGATATGTCATGCTCCGCATACACATCATGTCGAGGGACTTGGAGCTCTGCCGCACTGAAGCCCGCGGTCATTTGTGAATCGGCATCGTCCTCCATATCCATGAAATCATTATCCTCGCTGTAGATGGATTGCTTAACATCCCTATGGTTCCCTACTGCTTTTGGAAGATTTTGAGACAGTAGGTGGACACCCGCTTGTTGAAATACCCGTGGTGTAATTTGGGTGAGCCCACGGATGTCTGGAAGACTTTTCGCACATTCTTCGATCACTGCATCGATTTTGTATTGCTCGATATGAGGTTTAGACAAGGCAGTGGTGAAACATTCTACTAATCCAAGTACTGATGATTGTAATGCAGCAACACGGCGATCTTCGAAGGTTCCGATAGTGGAAATCGCGGGCGCAACAATGCACAAATTCGTCATAATGCGTAGCATGTCAGGTGTGATGCCTTGCACATTGGTAGAGGTTGTCTCATTCCAATGATGTGTTGCCTTCTCAACTTCAGACTGGCAGTAATCGATGATTTTGTTCTCCAACGGCGTCAAATGGCGGTCATTGGTCGATTCGTGAAGAGAAACATGTGCCTCGATCGTCTGCCCAAATCCAGTCTTGTCCTGATCATCTAGGAGTAGCAGGTAACGTGCAAGTTGGTCATTGAGCGCAGCTCGTTTTCTTGCTTGCGCGATGGGTCCCAACACTGAGAAAGGTGCTGCTTTAGTAGCTCCAAAAGGCCTATCCATACAAGCGTGAAGAACACGTAAAACATCGCGAGCGTTGCAATGGTGTGCATTCATGGCCGCATACGCTCTATCAGACCAGAGACCTTAAAAGAATTAGAGTGTCCTTGTAGTATGTAGCATTGCACTTACCAGGAGTCCATTTGCTCAGTGTCCAAATTAAAATTCTTTCTGCCGTGAAATTAAAGTTTGTTGGGTTTTCTGTGATTCTTCCCCGAATTAATGTGGTTAGAAAGGAAGAGCTGGCTTCTGTAAGCAGTGCAGGGCCACTCAGCTCAATGGACAAGAGCATCGATTGCACTGTCTGTGAAATTGCTGAGAAAGGAACAATCTGCAGGCGGAGAAGTACGTCCATGAGATGGGAAGCGGCACGAGAATTGGAGATGGATGTCACAGCGCGAGAAGCGCCTTGCCAAGCAGAAATCCAATAGGATTTTAGTGAATCGTCTCTCGCATATGGTTGAAGGGCAGCGCTGTGAGTTCAGTCAGACAGATTTCAGATGATCAGGACAAGTCCTTACCCAGCCAAACCTATCATTGCCCACACCGAATGTACAGGATTTTCGTCAGTTATACAAGTAGTGAGCTTTTCCAGCATTGTCTGAAGGTCATCCTCGTCAATAGGACCTTCTTGAACCATGAAAGCAATGACTTGCAACGCTGCTCTCTTGGCGTTTGATCGAGGTTCGAACACATGGCGAAGATATTCGGGAAACATCGACGTGACGCAAAGACGCTTGCTCATACTTTGTCCTAAACTACTACGCTCATGGCTCATTTGCCGCCTTCGCCTGTCAAGGAGAAATGAGAACCGTGCCACTGTTGAGACAATCGCCCATAACATCTCATAGGTTTGATTTCCGATCTCCATGGAGAATGCACAAGTGTTGAGTGGATGAGTATCTTTTTCAGCCGGTCCCAAATGCCGGAAGCAAATGTAATCCTCTTCGAGGAATTGGAGTGGCGTGGTCTCTTGCCGCCGCCTGTAATCGCCATAAATTGTGGCGACGAGCGCCTCAAGTTCTAGGCTAAATTCTTCGTTATCTATGTCAGTGAGAAGCGCTGAGATGTGAGTTTCAGTGTAGATTAGAAAGATCATAATCTCCTGGCGCAGCATAGTTTCAGACCACATAGACTTCATCAGAGGGAGGAGGTCTTGCACAGTACGTTTCGTAAGCTCAAGGGACTGTGTGGAGATGCGAGCGATAACTGAGTTTATTGCAGCAAGTGCAGCAACAGCAGCACTATCACGGCCAGTCCTTTGCTGCAAATACTGCTGCAACACGGCCAGATTGTGGTCAGCCTTGTCCAACAAAGGCGCATTGGAGGCTTTGACAAGGGAGTATAAGCATTGCATAAAGTCTTCTGTCAATTGGCCGACAGCCTCGGGCACTGACTTGGTCCTGGCTACAGGCTGCCGAGGGCTCGCCCACGAAGACGTCAAGTCCGTAGACTCAAGGGGAGTTCGGGCCCGACTAGAGACATTAGTGCTCCAGCTGTCCTTGGGCTCACCTTCGGCCTCGACTGAGACGCTGGCTAAGCAATTTATGCAGAAACTGACTGCAGCATCCCAATGATCTTTAGAAAGCCGTTCGACATGTGGCTGATACTCGAGTAGCGAACGCAGTATTTTGGGAAAGTCCTTGACGAGTGGCTCAACTAAACCATTCTTGCCAGGTAGGAGCTCAATTATAGTGTCTATAATGATTTCCACAGTGGAGCTTTTGATGGTGCGCACGCCAGAAGCAACAACAAGGCGCAAGGCTGCAGCTGAGCGAGGAAAATGGGGCGTCCTGGGCGACTTCGGCTTGATACCGTTGCGCAAGAAATGCGATCGCTCTTCGCGAATACATTGGAAAAGCGATTCGCAAAGAGCAAGGTAGGCTTTGTTCCCGAGCGCCTCGAGACTGGGCTTTCCGCGGTTGTGCTTCAAGATATGGACCAAGTCTTGAACACCGTTGATGCGGTCAGCCACACGCGAAGATTGGATGAGGACTGCTATGCATGAGCCATGTTTATGGAATGATGGGGAGCGAAGTCTTACTCTTCGCATCCTGGATGTTGGTGGCCCCCATACTGGTTGCTCACAGTATCGCGCCGTTTGTGAGTGTATATTGGGGAAAGCGAAGCATTGCTAGAGTGGAACGAGGGCTGGAGAGTATTTTTTCTTTTCTCTTACAAACGAAACATAATCGCCAAATCCGCGCGACCTTCCTGAGCGGGTCTTCTACTGTGTAGGTGCAATCACTGTGCACACACTCTCTGCAGATGCGGCGGACGCGGAGGTGAGGTGAGGCTTTGCTGGGAAGGCGCGCTCTAACATTATTGACGGATCCAGGATCGACACGCTAGGCTCGAAATCGCGTCGGTCCCTGGCAAGCTGAGAGCTTCCCATTGTGAGAGAAAACATCAGCCAAACACGACTTTCCCACGCCGCCCCTCCGCCAGCTTTTCCCGGCGCATAATGCGCAATTCCCCTGCGAAATCTCCCCATGGATGAAGACGACAGCCTCGCCGCCCTTGAGGCCTTGCACCGCGATCTCTGCGCCCACATCGACCTGCAGCTGCCGGTCGTGGACAGGCTGTTGATAAACCTCGAAGCGCATATCGATGTCCTCAAGGCGCTGCTTGACAAAAAGCCAAAGAACGACGTGAGCAGGCAAAAATTAAACTCGGGTACTTTTATCGGCTGTCTGCGAGCAGGAGGTTGTGTGTGCTAACAGCGCCAGGCAAGATCACCATTGAAGAGGACGAGTACGAAGTCAACGATGACTTCAAGCAGCAGACGCTGGAGCTGGCCGACGCCCTGGATTTGGACGAACTGGATGCCGCCGCTCTTTTTCTAAGTGCCAAAAATGAGGCTCAAGACATCGACCGATCCCAACTGCAAACCGCCGTGATTCGCTTTCACCGCCGCCGCGAAACCCTTCTGCTCTGTCTGCGCATGCTCATGAAGACAGCTCTAGACAATGGAGAAACTGTGGTAGATCGACAGCCTGAGCTGCAACTAGCTGTGCAGTACATCGTAGGCGTCGCGAATGGTTCCAACCTGGCAAGCGCATACGGCTTCTGGACAAAGTGCCTGACCAGCATGGAGTCGGTGGAAAAGTGGCTGCAGTTCATTGCAGAACGGGTTCAGAGCACGCAGGTCGTGGGCCAGGTTCCCCTACCAGGTTTTGTGGAAATCATGACCCTTCAGCGACAAAGTCTGACCAGACAGCACGAGAGTCTGGCTGCAATATGCACACATATGATCAAAGCCGGCTACGTCAATATGGACAACTACAGAAGTCTTCTGGCGAGGGCAAAAATATTAGAAAGACACGACATTATTACGATTCACTATGTTCCGATGCTCATTCGGCTCACGTCCTGGGCAGCTGCGGAGACCAACGTTACATTGCGAGAAGCACGGTCTCTTCACGACTCGCTCATGGCTGGGCGAGAGAATGATAATTGGGCCCTGAGAAACCTCCATGCAGCGACGTTGACTTGGTGGTTGGCTGAGTACAGCGGGAGATATGTAGACCCCAACACGCAGGACCCTGCCATGCAAAATATTGACTTTGAGGCTGAAGCCGTGGTCCGGTCAGACATCTTCCTAAAGGCGCTCAATGACGGTGCTTTCCACTTCATGCTCTCGTTCAGCCAGGATGTGCGCCCGACAAGCTGGTACGATCCGCAGAAAACGAGCATGCTATCTACATTGTTGCAAGATACAGCCATGTTGAGCGCAGAGTCACCACAGCCCGCGGAGTTTTTCAAAGTACTAATCATGGAGCAATTGCAAACTTTTGTGGATTCCTTCATCACTCATATGCCCGACACATTACGACGACTGAAGGTCGAAGAAGACGACCAGCGCAAAAGATTACAGCTCCACTTTCAGCTCTCGACAGGTGAATATCCTCTCCACCTAGAGAGATTTATGGTTATCATCGCTTATGCGTTTGACGGCTTTCCTGATGCTGCAGATGATTTTTGGAGCGACAAGGAGAGCAATTTGTACGGATTCCTGCAATGGGCAGCCAAGCGACAACCTACTCCCCGGATAGCTATGTTCTGCGAGATGTTGCGAGCAATCTCAACAGGCCAATCCAATGCTGAGTCGGCCCACCGATTCCTACTTGAGGAAGGAGCCTCTGCTTCTGGAAAGATACGACGGACTAGCTCATTGAGCTATACGCATATATTCAACGAACTAGTCGAATTTGAAAAAAACATTCACGAGCCACGAAAGACACTCCAGGGCGGTGTGTACGCCCCATCAACAAACCCTATAGATCAGATTGTCGAACCGGAAAGCGCAACTATGCTTGAGAGCTACCTGCGTGTTCTTGCGCACATATGTCGACAGACTCCACTTGCGCGCAATTGGATACTGGATCTCAAAGAGTACGACTTTGCCAACATATGTTTCCGTCTGTGTACCGACAAGGTTGAGAGCGGCCTCCGCGCAGCTGCCTATGACGCTCTCTCAGCTCTGCTCGTGGGCAAAGATGTACCGAGATCCAACGGTATGTGGTATCTACTCGACGACTGGACGGTCAATGGGTTCTACACTGGCTCGAAGCAGAGCAATGCTCTGGGAGCTGTGCCACGCGACGACTTCTGGCCCACCCTTGCCGATGGATACGACGAAGCCATCTCGTTGGTCAAGTTTCTCCATGCGCTTGTGGAGCCTTTCCCTGACAGCGAGGGGCTGAATGACAGTTTACCTTTTCCTGAGGGCTTGGGTTCATCACGCAGAATACCAGGTATTGAAAGTTATATCGACTTTGTTATCCAACAAGTTTTTGCAGAACGTACGCAGGAAGTACTGGATCCTCTTCAACGTAGCGTTATGAGATGCACCTGCCTCAGCTTCATGGTTACTTGTCTCTCCACATTCAACGAGAACCTCGTCGTCTTCGCCAACAAGTCCAATATTCCTGTGGACGCAGTAATCGATCCTTCCTCGCTTGCTGCTTATGTTGCGCTGCACCCATTTGCGCGGGTCATGGAGTGGCTGTTCAACGACAAAGTCCTGAAGGCGCTCTTTTCAGCCTCACATCACGACGTGACCGAAGTCGATGCTGCCGAGCAAGATTCACCCTTGGTTCAATCCTTGATGCTCAGCGTTCAGGTTATGGACTTGGTGATGAAACTGCAAGCGACATATCTCGACATTGTCAGGCCCGTCCTAAAGCAGCAGCCCTCATTCCAGCTGTCCCCTGTCTCAAACTTATCACTCGCCTCCTTCGAAGACGCCATCCTCAACAATTTGCAGATCATAGTCGATCTTGGTCTCTACTGTGGTACGGCCCACGCTGATTTGACCATTGCTTCCCTCCAACTCTTGGAGAAGTTGGCATCCTCTCGCAAGCTTGCGGTCTCGCCTGCCGGATTTGGCCAGCGCTCGGGTCGAAGCAGGATTGTCGGCATATTGGAGAAAGACAATGAAGCTGAACGTATCGGGCGCTCACTGTCGAGTTTGATGCGGTTTAGCCCTGAACAATTGGAGGCTGGCCCTGAGGCGAGCGGCTATATTGTGAAGCTTCGCATACTAGACTTCTTGAACAGCTGTCTTGCTGCGGTCTCTAATAGACCGACGATAGCCCATATTCTCCTGGGTTTCTCTTGCAGCAGTACTACCGTTCACATTGCAGACGATAGCCTCTGGTCCAATGGACAGGCGCTGTTCCACAATATCCTCCTCTTGGGAGTAGAATATCCTGACCACGACGGTACGCAATTTATAGCTTGGAGGTCGACACTAAAGACTAGATGTTGGGATATCCTACAGAAGTTATGGCGTTCACCTCTGACCAGTGCTATCGTCATGGAAGAGCTGCGTGTCAATGAGCTGCTATTCGTCGAAGCCCCACAACTTTCGCCCATCACTCTCGATGTTCCTTGGGATGGCATCTCTCTCGCAGAAGGGCTCCAAGTTTCTACTGGAGACGTATCTCCTTTCTTTGCAGGACCACCGGCGCTTGCACTCCAAAACTTCCTTCAACGTCGGGCTGCATTTTTGGACTACGAATCTCGGGAACTGCGCCTGACAGTAAAGGAGTCCATGCCTACAATTAGGTCACGGATACAATCCTTGCTCCTTGGTACCACTGTTCGGCCTGGTGAGGATCCTGTGGGTAATCCGAACATCTTCGATCTTTTTGACTTCATCGAATTCTCATATCCCGAGCGGAATCTGCCAGATAAGCATGAGTTTTTCGACGGTGTGAACCTCCCTTCTTGCCAAGAGGAAAAGGATGGTTGTATCCTATATTCTATTCCATTGCTTGAACAAGTTATCAGACTCAAGTTCAAATACTGGCAGAAGGATGGAGCATTCGAATTCGAAGGTGGTAAAGATCATGCGGCTGGTCTTGCCCATCAGGGCGAGACTCTGCTTGAGGTTTTTGCAGACTGGAATCGTCGAACTGAGCTTCTCCGGTATCACAAGGATATTCTGCAATCGTGGGTCCAAGTGATCATGGTCGCCGTACACAACTGCGAATTTGACAATGGAGGACGAAGTGCATTTATCCTCCAAACACTCCAAGTCATTCTTCCCAAGCTCGAACAATCCTACGACGGAGACATCTTCACAGCCCTCCAGCTCATTAGCCTCGCAGAGTCCCTCATTCAGAAGATCGACTTTGAGTCCACCGCATTCGACAAGACCGGCGACTTCACAAATGACCGGCTCTCCCAGCTTTTCCGCGCCGCCCTCGCCGGCATCCACAGCCCCGTCTCCACTGCAGAGCTGCGAGAATACTGCTACCAGATTTGCTTCCGCTACATTCACGGCACCTTTACCAGCGCCTCGACCAACACGCACCTTGGACGTCACACCCTCAACGCCATCAAAAACTGCGGAACGCACCTTCTCGAAGTCATTTGCGACGACGCCTACAGCGGCCACGGGACCTGCAAAGTATCAGCCCTCCTCCTGCTAAACGCAATGGTCGCAGTATCAACACAGCAATCCTCTAAACACATTCTCGAATCTTTCGTCAGCCTCAACTTCATCGGCGTCCTCGTAGACAACATCAAACACATTCCTGAGGAACTCCGATCGGCAGCCTCTCCGCAAGTTCCCGCCCTACTCTCCTACTACGACGCCAGTCTCGCCCTGCTCCTCCGTGTGTCCCAGTCCCGCCTTGGCGCCGCTTATGTCCTCAACGCTGGCTTGTTCCCTGCTATCCGCGATTCCAACATCTTTGCGGTCGACCCGGACATTGGGCTTGAATTCGACGGCCCGGATGCGCTGCGCAAGTACTACGAGCTCATGCTTAGTGTGCTGCGGGTTATCAATGCAGCGGTCATTGCGCGCGGACGGCAAAACGATCAGACTGTTTACCAGGCACGCGAGTTCTTAAAGGAGAATAGACATAGTATGGTGAGTGTGTTCAAGAGGAGTGTGCACGTTGGTGCTAGTCAGGGGGCTAGTTTGATGGGCGTCGGGGGCGACCTGGGAGAGCAATTGGCGGATTTGGTGGATTGTTGGACAGTTTTGGTGGAGGTTACGGGCTTTTTGCAGGTACGTGATCATCATTCGGGGAGGGACGACGATGCGATGCTAACGGCAAGACAGTATGAAGATCAGAGTAGTGTCAAGAGGGGTGCGCCGAACATGTTTTCATAGGTGCTCTAGTGGGTGGTTGGGTATACTGTTGGTTATGTGGGTGGGTATACTGTTGGTTGGTTGAAGACAGCTGGAAGAGCTGCAGAGTAAAATGATTTAAGGAGGCGTGGGCGAGGCAGTAAGCATGTAATCGATGAGTGAAAAAGCTGTTCCGGTTTCACATCAGTGGGAGACGTATACTGCCAGTCAAGTATTATCCCTTGCTCAGAGTTGTCCTTTGATTTCAGCATTGGTATCCATTTCAAATCTCCAGCGCTCAAAATGTTGAATCGGCACTGCAAAATCCACAAACCACAGTCATGACATATCATCGCCCCCCTATGCATCCTCGGTAAACGCCCTATACTCCTCGGGACTCATCATCTTGCCCTCAGGCTCGCCCTCGACCGTGATCTTCGCAATCCACGCCTCACCTTCTGGATCCTTGTTGATATTGCTTGGCTTCGCTTCCAGGGCCGAGTTGACCTCTGCTACAGAGCCCGAGACGGGCGTCAGTATATCCGAGGCAGATTTTACAGATTCCACGGCGCCAATGGCGTCGCCGGCGGATACGGCGGTGGAGACTTCGGGGAGCTCGATGAAGACGACGTCGCCGAGGGCTTTGGCGGCGTAAGTGGAGATGCCAAGGGTGCCTGGTTGGAGAGGTCGTTAGATTTGGGATTGTGGTATTGTGTAAGGGATGAGAAGGGAGGGGGTTCAGCGCTGGGCTGGGTTTGTATAGAGAGACAGCGATGCGACACAAGGTCAAATCGAAGTGACAAGAAAGAAAGAGGAAAATAAACATACAAGTCTTGCCATCAGCCGACATCTCAATCCACTCGTGGTCCTCTGTGTATTTCTTCTCCTTCACTGTTTTTCCATCAGCGTCGTTCCTGCTTGGAACTTCCCCCAAACAAACATACATGCGTTAGATACCGAGAATAACCGTTGCCTTTGCTGCGACACTTGCGCCCAGCGCGCGCACACAAATGGCGCAGGCCTCTTCGCTGCATTGGCGCTCAATTGGCGCGCTGCGCGTACAATGCATGTCCTAGCTGCCATTATTTTCGTCGTAATTTTTGTCTGTGAGGTTTTGGGGGGTGGGAAGGATTTATAGCACTCGTTCTGGGGAAGCTTTGGGAAAGGTGGGGAGGAACGAACTACGAGTGCCAAGAGTTTGCGGAACGGTTGGCCGCTTTAGAACACTTTTCGCGACGGGTGAGAGAAGGGGACGTGGGCTTTTCGCGATAACATCTACGTCTTGCGCATACTCACGCAAAGATGCTGTATGAGATGATAGGAGTGGTATGTTGCATCCTATTTCCACTTTATTCTCAGAGGTCTAGAAGCAGAACTAGGAAGCAATTGCTAACACGACCCCCCTCCAGGTTCGGCCAGGCCGCCTCTCCGAAGTAAAAGAGTAACCACCCACCTCCGATTACCACGCTCCCACTGTCCCTCATATCCCTAACACAATCACTCCTTTTCTACAGAATCGCCCGCACAGCTGGCAAAATTGTGCTCGATGCCCGCGGCGTCGTCCGCGGCGTAACAAACTGGGGCACCTTCCTGCTCCCCCATCCCGCCAAAAAACTGCAATCTACACACCACTACGGTCACCACTTCATCATGCGCTTCGATGCGAGTGCACGCGCGCAACATACGCTGAGGAAGACCATGAGTCTGGACCCTCGGTTGATCAGGTACTCGATTGTGAAGATGGGAACGAAGTTTGAGGAGATCAAGGATATTGGGGGGGAGGCGAAGTTTAGATGAGCTGCGGAGATGTAAATGAGGGGAGTGATGGAAATTGCAGGGTGAAATGAGGAAGTGTACTATATGATGGGCTTATGTGGGCTGTGAAGATATGGGGCAAGGGCATTGCATATGGAAAGGCGTTTGGTATATTTTCGAAGCATTGAATTGAGATGCGGAATCGATGACAATAAAAGCCAATCTGAGGCATGGAAGAAGAAAAGACAGCCATGACCGTCGAGTGACCTTTCCATTGGCTGTTATCTGCGATTTAATACTTGTGCTCACATCATGGATACCTAGATTATCTCGACTGCAGATCTTGCAATCCATGTCTACGTCCCCCTCTTCCATTCTGGTCCAACCCGGATAATGGCCCATGCATCTCTGTATGGCGTCTCATGAATGTGCGAATTACAGTCTGGTATCTCCGCAAGGCAATTTAGCATTAACATGATGTAAGACTGCCGCTGCTGTGTTGGAGCAGCAAGCCTTGTTGCTAGCTGGTGGTGACAATGATATTGCCAGTATTGTTGGTTTAGAAGCTGTAGGCGCAAAAGCTATATATCACTGACTAGAGTGCATTAGGGTAATAAATGAGGATTGGGTACTAGTGTAGCAGATGCGACTGATCGTTTCTTGGAAGCAATAGGTTTCCAGGCAGGTTATGATATAGATAATAGAGACGGGGCACAGGGCACGTGTGGGTGGTTGTGCATTATTTATTCTAAGTCTACCCCTAGTATCTATCCTTCATGGTGGATATATAACGTGATCCACCACCGAGCGCCCACCCCCACCGAGCGCCCACTAACACCAAAATCCACCACCCACTAAATGAGGATATTGCGCCACCCACAATAGCTATTATCACGAGATTTCTTAGAGTCGCGATTATTAGATCTATTAGAGTAGATTAAATATTTTAGATTATATAAGCAGCTTTTTAGGGGGTCTAATTAGGCGCCCACGCTATAAAGTTGCCTCTACTACTATATCCTCTTCTACTAGCTCCTTATTAACTACCTTAGCTAGTATAATAGTAGGAGGCTTAAGGATTTGCCTCTTGCCTATTTAGGACGTTTTAATATTATTTTAGAGTTACTTTTCTAGTTACTTAGTAGTTTTCTACTTATTACGTGTAGTAGCTTTTTAGGCAGCTTTCTCCTCCTACTCCTTCTTAGTAATTACTTAATTTAGGTAACGCTCCTTTATAAGTTAAGCTTTAATAAGCTTCTATTACTTATAAAGCTTAATTACCTTACTTTTTTAGTGTTATAGCTCCTGTTCTTTAAGGTTCTTTTACTCCTAGAGCTTAAACGCTTGCTCTACCTTTAATAGTAAAATAAATTAGGCACTACTACTATAATTATTATTAGGGGGTAATAATAGAGGTTTACTACACTTCCTACGCTTCTTCTTATTAGCTAGGGCAGCCCTTAGGTGTTTATTTTTGTGGTTAAGTAGAGTATTTCTTACTAATATAGTATAGATTATCTAGCTAAGCTTCTTTAACTATTTATTATAGATATTAATTATAGTATTATAGAGTAACTACTCTATCTTTCTCTAATTACTTATACTTAATATTAAGGTTATACTATTACTTAAAGAAGGCTAGTTACTATTATTTATAGGTGCTTTAAACCTTAAAAGGATAATATTAGGGTTAAGTAGTAAGATACCTATTGCTTTAAAAGCTATTAATATTAGCTTTTCCTTAAAGGTATTGCTCTATATAGCATTAAATAACTAGTAGAAATCCCTCTTAGTAATGCTTATAAGCCCTTAGGAGCTATCTAGAAAACTAGATAGTTAAGCTTTATATAAAGCTATAAAGGGAGCAAATACTATAATATTAAGTAGCTAAAGGGTGTAAGTGCTATAAGGGGGATATATTATAAGTAGGATCTTATATTTATTATAGTACTTAATAAACTCTATTATTATATAAGATCTATAGCTATTAAGGATAAGGAGCTAGTATAAAGTATAAGCTTTAGCTTTTGTCTTGTAATTAAACACCTCCTTAAGCTAGGATACCCCTAGGGTGTGGCTTGTCTACCTACTTAGTAATCCTATAAAGAAAGCTTAGTGTTATAATAGGTTAAAATCTTATAACTAGGTATCCTATAGAGCTCTAGATTAGGACTAATAAATAAGGGTAGGGGTAAGAGTAGTACTATTAGCGTATATACAAGCTATAGTAGTAATCTACTCCCTATTGCTATCCTAGAGTATAGCTCTAATCTTTCTCTGCTTATAGGCGCTCTTATTAAATATACGTTTAGTTTTTAATAGTACTCTAATAAGAAAACCCTTCTTATCTATATTATAGATATACTAACTCTTAATATTATATTACTCTATTTTTTAGTATAAAAGCTTAAAGTATAAGCTATACTTAAAGGTAGAATTAGCTTTAAAGTAGTTGCAATTAAGCCTAGTAGCCTAATAGGAGATAAGATTAATATTATAGTAGTTAATAAAGCGCTATACCTAATTTTTGCCTACTAGATTCCCTATTATTTTAGTTGTAAAATTTTAAATAATAGTCTATATAAGGGGTAATCCTTACCTATAAAGCTCTTTAATATACTCTATAAGCTTGCTTTCTTGTGTGGTGTTAAGTATTTAACTATTTAGTAGAGTAGTAGTACGTGCCTGCTAAATTTTCTAGTAGCGTCTAGACAAGGTTAACTGCAAGTAACTATACTTTTCTGCTATTTCTAAGTATGTAAAATCTTCTCTAAGAGTTAAGGATTTAATTGCTGCAAGCGCGTTGTTAATAGGTGCTATAGTTGTTAAGAAATTTGGTGTTGAAAATTTGGTGATTTTGGTGTTAGTGGGCGCTCGGTGGGGGTGGGCGCTCGGTGGTGGATCACGTTATAGGGGGAGCTGCGCCAGCCCTAGTGGCTAGCGCTACTTAGGGTAGGTGTGAAGGGCTTAGGCTTATACCCAAGCCTAGGCCTAACACAAGATAGACAGAGTCTAACACTACTACTAAGCGAACACGCTACACACCTATAAAAAGGCGTAGAGGGCTTACCTCTCCTTTAAGATACTAAATACTATTATTAACGCTTATTATATTCTCCCTTAAGGCTAGTTTATAATATTTTAGTATCTTCTTCTAAATATACTATAATAGTAATAGAGATAGATATACTAGATATTTAGAATAATTAAGTATAACCTAATATAGTAAAAAGGCTAATATAGTAAGTCTAAGGATTAATAGATACTAGGCTTATATAACAACTTAGGTAGGTAGCGTATCTAAAAGGTATCCTATATAACTTAAAGGTATATAGGAGTGCGCGTCTATATAGAAAAGGATAAGATTCCTACACCTATAGGTCTTGTATAAAAGGACAAGAAGAATATACCTATCCTAACTATAGGTAAGCTACTCTCTATATTTATTAGTAAGTTAGGCCTTTATTAGGCCTAACTTAGTATAGAATAATAGGTAAGCAATTCTACCTTATTAGTATACTACCCCCTCCTATAGAAAAAGGATAGTCCCTATCCTTATAATTAGGTTTAGATCCCTTATTAAAGAAAAGCTCTTGCAAAATAATTCTACCTTTACCTCTACCTTTACTTATACTTCTTGTTCCTAGGGTATAGACCCTTATCTATAGCCTACCTATATCTAGCCCTCTACCTACCTACTTTCTTATTCCTTTATCCCTAAATTTTCTAATATTTAACCTAATCTATCTTAAATCTAGTAAGTATTTAATCTATATAATTAAGTAGTTATTAATCTAAATTAGAACCTTTAGCTATACTAGTACTAGTACTACTAGGAGTTCTTTCTATTACTTATCGCGCTCTCTATATAAGGGTAGTTAGGGCTCTAGCTAGGGGCAAGTTTAATAATTTTAATTTTAAGTTAAAGAATTCTAAGAAGTGCTAGTATTATATCTCCTAGAATAAGTATTATAATCTAGTAAGTATCTAAGTCTAATAGGGTTCCTTTACTAATTCTAGTAGATTCCTTCTTTTATTAGCCTAGAGTACTTTACTCTTAGGGGTGCTCTAGATAAGTACTATAGCCTAGTAGCAAACCCTACTAAAGGGGATAAGGATAAGGATACTATAGTTACTTATTAGAAGGATATTAAATAGTTTAAGGCTACTATTTAAGAAGCTACCTAAAACCTTGCTAAGTATATTACTATTACTAATACTTAGACTAAGGGTATAAAAGCTACTAAGATCCTTATAGCTATATATTATACTACTATATCTAATTTATATTAGCTTTAGAATAGTATTTATAAGATAGTCTTAGTAGTTAGGGGCTTAATAAGGGCTATTAATAAACTTAAAGAGGAAATAGCACTAAATTAGGAGGCAACCTTTATAGTGTAGGCTAAGATAAAGGCGCTTAATAAGAAGGCGTCTAAATTAGTTCTAGCTCCTGCACCTACTCTAGTAGCTACTCTAAAACCTGCTACACTAGTTATCTAGAAGCTAGCTAAGAATATTAGTCTAGGCGCTATCTTAGCTAATATAGAGTCTAAACTAGGTTCTAATAGAGAGATAGATATAGAATAAAGAGGTTTCCTAGGGGTAGTGTCCTAGGAACCTTAAAGGTTCTAGGATAGTTCTAAATAGGATATAATAATAAATAGTAATAAGAATAATAGTAATAGATAGTAGTTAATAGATAATGCGTAGCTAAATAGGATATAAATTAGTTCTAATATTAGGCATGATTATTGTAAAGTAATATTAGATCCTCTTTGCCTTTTTCCTAGGCTTAAATCTATTTTAGTAAGCTGCGTAGGGGACCTAGCTAATTTAGATACTATTAGTAGAATACCTATAATTTATAGGGAGCACCTATAAAGTTAGAGGCAGGATACTAAATAGGATTAGGATTATGTCTAACCTACTTAACCTTATATTTTAGCTTAGATTAATATAATTTGCTAGCTAGGATTTCTTCTACCTCCTATTCCTCTACACCTTATATAGGGGTACTAGGGGGTTTTAGAGCCTCTTAT